GTCAAAAAACTGCTGAATACTCAGCAGGGTATGGACAGATATGCTCATAAGTCACCCATCATAAAGTGGACAAATGTGTTGAAAGGGTCTTCAAAAACAATTCACTGAAGCTGAGAGCAGCTTCTCACAACAATGCCAGCTGGTACACTATTGATATATGTGTGTTCCTAGAAAACTCACCTATAGGGGAAGCCTATGCTACAAGATGCCCACCCTCTAGAAGATAATTCCAGGCTTTTTGTGTCCCCCCATATATCTCTTTTACTTGTGCCTTAGTTGGGACAACTTTAATGATTATATATGTTCTACATCATCATTTAGATATCTTCAAAAGTCTGAGCCCCAGTTTCCCATAGTGGTAACCTATTCATGAATGTATTGGCTTCCTTCTCTTCTGTGTCTCACTTCACGGTTACCCTAATTCCTGGGTTCAACTTTCAAATAAATTTCTTGCACTAGAATCTTTATCTCTGGGTCTGTTTATTGAGGAACATAAAATAAAAGAAAGGCATTTTACAATCTTATCCCCCTACTTTTACAGCCCCTTTGCCTTTTTCTATTGAGCATCCTAAACTTCGTCTCATTAGCCCAAACTCCAGTACCCAAACATGTCATGTTCTGATGTTTTGTATCTTTCTCAGAGCCTTTCCTTCTGTTAGGATGCCTTTCTATGACTGTGTACCTGGCTATTCTGTTTTTTAAGACTTGGTTCAAAAGTCATTCTGTCTAGAGTGACTTTGTCTTCCTACCCAGGGCCAAATGCCCTCTCCTCTATTCTCCCAAGCATGGTCCATATATCTCTGTCATGATGGACGGTTCCCTAAAATGGTCACAATAATCTCACCAATCCCTCACAACCTTTTGCTATGTGACTTTGCAAATACTCTCATTAAGAAGCAGAATCTAGCCCAGGCTAGTGCAGCTCAGTTGGTTGGGCATTTTCCCCTCAAACTGAGAGGTCACTGGTTTGATTCCTGGTCAGGGAACATGCCTGGGTTGCAGGTTCAGTCTCAGGTTGGGGCACATACAGAAGGCTACCAGTCAATGTTTCTCTCTCACATGCATTTTCCATTTTCACTCTTTTGGAAGCTAGCCTTCATGTAAAGAAGCTTAGGTTACTCTGCAAGTAAATAAGATACCACATGGAGAAGGTATCATTGTGAAAGAGATACAAGGTGCCCTGCGCAACAACCAGCACCAAGGTCTCAGACATGGGAGTGGGTCCTTCTTGGACACACATCAAACACCACATGGAACACAGATGAGCCCTGCCCAAGTTCCTGGCCCACAAAAATCATGAACAATACAGTAGTTGTTTTAAGCTATTGAATTTTGTGGTGGTTGTTATACAGCAATAAATAACTGCAAAGTCTATTATAGAACTTACCATTAAATACTATAATTACTTGTTTACTTGTCTGTCTTTCACACTTGTGAGCTATGCATAAATGGGGACAGAATATTTTCATCTTAATAGCTGTAATATCTGACACAAAAGAAAGTTTTACAATGATGATCCAATAAAAATAATGGGGGCTCAGCAGGGAGGAGGTCACAGATAAAACTTGTTACATTGGGATTCCTTTTTTTTTTTAGGAAATGAGAACCCCAAACCAAATATACTAGAAAATGGTTGTAAACGAGAATGAGATAAAAATTCAGAGTAATTAAAAGGGATTTCCAAGGCATTTTGTTTATGAATTCTCTAAGACTTGGTGAGATTCTTGACCTCTATTTCAATCAGTGTGCAGCCTAGATGAGACCTATAGACACTACTATTCACAGGAGTCTGTCAGGCAGTCACTACTGTATGCAACTGAACTGTCAGTCATGGTTCTCAATGTCCAGGAGAAGCTTATGTCATAACAGAGAAGCAGATGCACTAGGACCCTGCAGGTCTCAAGAGAATATAGTAAGGTGTGGAGAACAGGAAGGTGAGCTTCAGCGGTTATAAGTTTTCTGCTAATAGGTAAATTACAAACCTTTAAATATGTCTTCACATGTCTCAAGGATAATAGATTCTTAATAAATACTGGTGCCTGAATGAATAAACAACAGAATGAGCAGCTACCATTTAGGAGCTTTGTCATGTTACAATGTTGAGGGTCAAGAACACACTGAATTAGAATAATTCTAACCCCAGGACATTTTTGTTTGCTAAGAAAGGAAATGATCAGGGAAAATTTTAACAGGTTTCTTTCATCTCTTTGGATCTATTTCATAGAAGAAAATGCAGACTTCATCCCATGAAGATACCTCTGAGGAAATGCAATATTAAGAGCACCAAAGACACAATGACTACCTTCCTAGCTTTAGGCTTTCCTAATAAAATTTATGGCCAGGTACAAAATACTGAGTGGAAGTGACAGAGCAATTATATGGAGATTAAGTTAATGAATATAAAATTAAAGAAACTATCAAGTTTGGATGAAGGCATTAAGGGTCCTCTGTCTGTTACGTGGGTATGCTCATGAGAAGGGAGAACAAATCCTCTAGGACAATAGCTCCATCCATTAGGAGTAAGAGGTAGGATAACATATTAGAAGTGGACAAAGAGCCTTAATCAGTGATGAAAACCAATTATCAGTGCATCCTCAGATCATATGAGGTTTAAAGAGAAAAACAAAAGACAGTACAGTCAAGTTCCAAAAAACCAGAAAGGAACTCTAGGTTTCCAGAATGGAAAGAATCTGGTTCCCTTGCTAGTCTCAAGGTTGGAGAAGTGAGCCTGGCCCCCAGTGCTAGGGTGTGGAAGCAAGGCTGCGTGGGAACAAAGGAAAGGAGGGTTCCTGAGAGATTGCTTAACACTGTTTTTTAAAATTATTATTTTTTATTCAGGAAACCTTGTGCTAACATAATCTTACAGGGTACCCCAATATATGACAGAGACAAATGTATTGCCATGTGGTTGCAAGAAAGCAGGAAAAGTAAGGGGATCTTCAGAGGAGCTGGTAGGAGTTTAAGATGCTGCTTCATGGGACACTATGCTAACAGAACGTACTTGGAAGACTACTGGCCCAGGACATCTGTAGGCCTTTGTGGATTGCTTGTCTACTGTCCTGGTTTTTGGTCAAGACTCAGTTTGTTAAAGGGCCACTTGGCAAAATGGACTAAAACTATAACTGAAGATCGTAACAGTGAAGACAACTTCATCCACATCATGGCAGGGAAGAAGGCCCTTATCTGTCCTTCTCACTAAGGTCTCAGCATGGTTTATTCTTTCTGGAAAATATTTTTCAGGCAATGATTGAGGCTCTCAGTGGTTGCCAGTTCCAACTTAGTAACACCTAAATTTATCTGACCCAATAGGTTCTGGATGGCCCTTTGGGAAGAGATGTTGGAAAAGGTAACAGCACCCTTGATATTTCCTGTTGCTCTCAGAGAAGCCTCAAAGTCAAAGTCTACTTAGTAATGAAACTTTACTTAGCGAGCACTTAGTAATGAACCTTTAAGATACTAGCTTTTGTCCTTACTTAGGAATGGTTGTAACCATGTAGCTAAGTGTCTAACCTCAGACACTAGAAAGTGGTTACAAACCCAAGCTAAGTAAAGAGAGAGAAGAATGGCCTTGAGGGCATCTCAGCCCAAATGAGAGCCTTTAGGGTCAGAACGTTTCAGAAGGTGAGTAGGAAGGTGTCCAGTGTCACAGGCATTTCAGAGACAAGGAGCATCTTGGGTGATAGTCTGAACTGACACAGTGACAAATAGTACAGATTATTATGACTGCCCTCATACAAATGGCAGAATTGAGTGTTTTCTCGTTACATTGTACTAGGTTTCAGATACTCAGCTGGAGAGTCTAGGCCTCAGATTTTCAGTAGACACTTTTAAGGGTAGGGTAATGCCTTTTTTAAAGAGGTGACCACAGCCTATTTACATACAGCCTATGTTCCAGAGTGCCCCCTCTTCATTGCCACTTTACCTCTTCCAACTGGAGGCACAGATTCAGTGTACTGAGTGGGGGACTGGCTCCCAGCAAGCCCAACCTGTCTTGTGATCTTACAGCAATCTGACCTTTCCTCTGGGCTGGGTGGATGCTGACTGGTGTTCTGAAGATGAATGAGTGATGGAGGACTGCAAAAGTTCCCTGCCCAGCTTCTCATTTCCCAACAGTGAAGCTACCTGTTTGGCTATGCTAATTTGCTTCTGAAGCAGGTGAGCTCACCCCTGCTGCTCAGACCAGTGAGCCAGGGCATTGTGTGGGAAATGGGGAACTGCCTTTTTACAAGTAACTCACAGAGCCCAGCTCCCTCTTTGAATAAGTGGATGATATTTCTTGAGTTCCTTCTCCTCAATATAGCCCCATCAAACATTCTACCATACCAGGAGCCAAAAATTGTATCAAATGGGAAAACAAAAGATTGTTTGGTTCCTGTGGAGCAGGTAACAATAAGCCACACTTTCTGAAGTGTCTTCGAAAGGAAAGTCGCGATGTCAACTTTCAGAGAAAGGCTCTGGCCCAAAACCAAACTGCAAGCTACAACAATGCTCCACTAAACATCAGAAGTAATTTATCTTTTATCCAGAGAGGCATTTCTCATGTAGAGGGAGAAATGCTATTCATACCACATAATCTCAAACTTTCAGTTTACTTTAGTTCAGTTTACTTCCTCTTTTTCTTACGAAGCATAATGAACGTAGCCTGTGATAAATTCTTGATGGACTGAAATTTAGCTGAAAAGTTTGCACATTCACAATTCTGCCCCTCAAAATTCTGTCTCTGCTTGAGAGACAATAAAAGTCAAACCAGTACTTTACATTTTCAGGTGTTAAAAGGCTCTTAGGGCTATGTATGCCCTCTCTTATACAGAGAAGAAATTCTCTTGTTAACCCACACCTAAGCTATTCAGTAGCCAAGCATTTGAAATGAGCTGAAGTGAAGAGTCAAAACACAGAACACTTCATAAAAAGGGCTTTCAGTTAAGACAGCTTCAAAAAGCTTTACAAAGAAATATTGAAATAGTCTGGTCATTCAGAGTCAGGGAATGATTGCCTCTTACCTGGGCTTCTTTCACTATTCCATTTTTTGTACAGTTTCCATTCTGTGAGCTGTCACTCTGTTTCTTGTGATTGGGTAGTTTTCCATTGCAAACAGCACCACCTCCAGAATTGGCCATCTGTGTGAAATGATGGAACCCAGCAGTTTTTTTCTCCAGTGCTTCTCGGCAAGCTGCAGTTTTGAAGTTAGTGAGGGGATGGCTTAAAGCACTTGGGGCTGAGTCTTTGGAGGAATCCTACCAATCAGGCTTTTCCAGAAGAAGAGCAACAATCTATCTTTTGGTCAGATCTTTGAAACTAAAAACAAACGGTTACCTTTCCACTCCTCAGCTCAGAATGTGGCTTCCACAGCAACAAACTAGCTCCTGAAGCTGCAGAGAGATTGCCCAAGGACTGTGGAAATCAGGAGACTGCAAAACCAGTGGTAAACTATGAGGGGGCGGTCTGGGAGGAGGAAAATCTTTTACAGGCACACACACACTCACCTGGAGTCTTCTACGTACATATAGTCAGTACTGAATTTACATCTATTCCCCACCTTCCCCTTGTGCATTTAATTACATTTTCTTGGTTGTAAATCAAGCTCAAAGTCAACATTTCTTTTTGCTGTAAAATAACATTCAGAAGTAATTGCCAGGAGCTGGAGGAAGGCGAGAATAGGAAGTTACCGTTTAATGGGCACAGAGTTTTAGTTGGAGAAGACAGAAAAAGTTTTGTCAATAAATAGTGTCAATGGTTGCACAACAATATGAGTGTACTTAATGCCACTGAACTGTACACTTTAAAATTGTTAAAATGGTAAATTTTATGTGATGCATATTTACCACTATACAAAAGTGGCAAAAAAAGAATATTCAGAATACACCTAATGTTAAATCCACCTAATATTTAACCTAATGTTAAAATCAGTGTTATAATGAGAGGTACTACTAGCTCACAGAGAATCCCTGTAAGACGGAAGACTAGGAGACAGAATATTTGGTTTCTTATCCTGGCTGCATTACATTTATTTTGTGACCTTGCAGGAATTTTCTCTCTCTATGCCTCACTTTCTCCACCCATAAAGTGAGATAAAAAATATCTCATAAAATGAGATATTTTTGTGGGCTAATGCCTGATGAGTGGTAGGAAAACAAAACACTGGTTTGGCTTTGTTACTGACACAGGTGTTGCGAAGCAGATGGTGACTGCAGCATCCCAGTCTGGATCAGTTCCGGTTTACTTGTTAGTTCAGTCTCTCAATGCTGGATGTCAGAGGTCTGTTTTCTCTTATGAAATGGCATTGTAGTGATATGGTTAGCAGTGTTAATCATTTAAAGCCTGTTGAGTCCTCCCAAATCCACTTTCATTGTTTTCCTGAATCAAGGATTCTTTAACAACAGACACTTAGAAAAGTAACCCATTTATTGGGTCAATGGACAAAAAAAAACAAAGGGAAAACAAAATCAAAAAGATAGGAACAGTCCGTGTTGTCACAGCCTCATTTCCTGGTTCTTAGCTTTGGAGAGGGTTTGTTTCCCCTCCAGAAAGAGGTGGCTTACAGAGGAGATGGTGATCAAGCTTTTCTTAACCACAATTTGCATGCAAGAGTTAATACCAAGTTAATACCCTTTGTGTCTCAAGCTCAGAATTTATAATGCATCTCTCTTAGCCATTGCTGTGAGAGCAGACTTAGTTTCTTATTGGTCTCTCTCTTCCATCGTTATTACACTGGGACTTGGAAGCTAAACCTGTGTTGTTGGCTTATTTCCTCTAGAGTCTAGACTTACCCAAAAGATTGATGGAAGAGTAGAAGAGAGCACTGATACTGTTGGCCTGACTGCCTGAGCTTACTGAGAAAGACAAGTTGAAGACACTCATTTTGACTGAGCTTTACTGACCTGTATGTAGAAAGTCATTTTTAACCTGAGGGTTTTGAGATAAAACTAAATTCTGAACATCAGATATATCTATTCCTTCTCCTTTTCTTTTCTTATTTTCCCTTTCTCCTATTTTTCCTCTCTCTTCTTTTCTTTCTTGCTTTCCTTTATTTTCTTTTTACAAAGGACAAAACTATACATAAAAAAATCTCAAAACACAGATGAAATCTGCTTCCTTTTCTTTTCCTAATCACAAATTGCCAAGGTCAGATAATCACACATAGACATTCAGGAAATATCTACCACATATGCTACACTTGAAACTCTTCTACTTGCCATATTGATATATGTGAATTGCTGTGTGCACAAATTCATCTGAATATCCCAACCATTCGACATCAGATACTGAGGATGGGCATATCAATGGTGGTTCATTGTTTTATACCATCTCCAGTGAAAATAAATGTGGAAGTCTGTTTGAGTGAGTGGTAGCTTGGAGTGTAAGAATATTGATTGTTTCTAGTCTGAATGTTTATGTTCCCCTCAAAATTCTTATGTTGAAATCTTTACTCACAAGGCAATGATATCATAAGGTGGGGTTGTTGGGAGGTAGTCAGGTCATGTCATTAAGATAGAGACCTCATAATGGAATTAGTGCTCTCATAAGAACGTGTCAAGAAGTCCCCTTGCCCCTTCAGCCACGTGAGGTTATAGCAAAAAGATGCACCTTTAGGAAGCAGGTCTTCACGAGACACCAAATCTTCTGGTGACTTAATTTTGGATTTCTTAGCCTTCATAACTGTGAGGAATAAATTCTGCTATTTGTGATCTATTCAGTGTTTGATATTTTGTTATAGCAACGGTAACAAGCTAAGACATTGATCAACAGTAAAACACAGACCAATTATTATGATTCGATGCCTCTGAATAAGTAAGTGTATTTTAGATCAACCAGTAAACCCAACAATTGTTTGAATAACTATTGTATATTAGGTTATTTGCTTTCATTAGGACAATGAATAAGACATAGGCAGTCTTCACTTTCATGAAACTAAGAGTTAACAGCACCTGCATATCTTCTACTCAAGATCTGTCATTATTAAAGGTGAAAATAAACCTTCCCTTTAGTGTATTAAGGAGGAACATCAAATCAGTTAATGACCTTGTGGTATTCTCTGAAAGGACATTTTTGTCCAGATATCAGCTTCTAAGGGTAGGCAAGAAAGGGAAATTCAGAGGCTTGGTAATATGTTCTGAAAAAGCTTTGGGAAACACTTGGAGATAGAAAGTTGATAGAAAAGAGGAAATGAGCAAAATCAATGGTCAGAATTGTACAGTGTCTAGAAATCTATTTGGTGAATTAATCTTTACTCACATGATGGAGGGTAACAATGGTGCAAAAACTAAAATTCCAGCAAGTTAAGTGACTTTCCAAAGCTGCAAGAATGTGTGGCAGAAGTAGGTTATGAATGCTAGGTCTCTGAGTCCAGAGCAAGTCCCCTTTCCCTAATACCATGATTTCTGTCCCTCAGCTGTTTTCTTGAATACATTGATCAAGAAGTAAAATAACAGAAAGTGATATGATTTGGGAAATTTCCTTGAATTGGCCAAGTAACAAAAATAATTTATTTTGCCTTTCTGATTCATTAAAATCATGTCACCTATTAAATAAAAGCAAAGATCTAATGGCATCTCAGTATCTACTGGGCTTTGATTGCCTGGGATTCCTCTACAGGTAAGTATGTACATTTTCTAAAAGATTTAGTCTGCAAAATTCTCAGTGTAAGATGATTCAGCTCAAAGACTTTTTTAATGAATAAGTTATAACTATCATGACATAGAAGGCCAGATACCAACGTTACAGATATCATGTGTCAAGGTTTTTCTTCTCTTTTTCAAAACATGGGCTAATAAGATAGCAGTGCTCTTTTAAATTAAAAAAAATCATGTTATCAATGACTACCGCCCAAGGTCAGCAACAGTGGAATATTTCTGCTTTTCCTCTAGGAACTAATGTCCACGTAAGCCCTTTTGTAGCAATTACCTTCAGAATGTCTCTGAGCAAAGAATAGGGTTTTATACTACTTTGGATGTCATAACTCTTTGCCTATGAAACTGAACATCTATTTTAAAAATAAGTCCAAGATTCAGACTTTCCAAATATAGAGCTGGATACTTCTAAGAAGCACTCAAGAACCACTATTATCACTTTACTATTTTAGAGGTTTGAAGATGAGCTTCTCGAAACCAGTATATTTTGGGATAGCAATCTGACTTTGTTAATTCACAAAAGCACTTTTATACCTGCCAAAATTACTTTATTTGTTTCCTTGGGGGAGATTATTTGTTCAAAGCAATGATGATTTATTTAGGTGGTTTTAAATTAATATTTGGTATGGTATAAAATTGACAACCTAGTTAAGTTCTACCTATAAATCTTGTTATAACTTCTGTATGAATTAAGAACAATTACTTTTATGATTGTTAACTGACGTGATTAACATAAGTTGAGTAGGCTAAATTCTCCTTAAACAAAAGTGACATTTATAAACTTAGTTAATGCATTTGCCTTAAAACATTTTAAATTTAGCTGATTAAATGCCTTTAAAACTTAAAACATCAACTCTAGTGATCTATGGGGTGACAGATGTTGCAGCCAGATCACCCTGACATCACAACAGCATGGATGGAACTGGAGAGCATTATGCTAAGTGAAGTAAGTCAGGTGGTGAAAAACAAATACCATATGATCTCACCTATAAATGGAACCTAGTCAACAGAACAAGCAAGCAAAATATAACCAGAGACATTAAAATAACGAACAAACTGACAGTAACCAGAGATGATGGGGGAGGGGAAAACAGGGGGAGGGGAAGAAAAGGGTCATCAAGGAACATGTATAAAGGATCCATGTACCAGGCCAAAATGGGAAAGGATTGAAGGTGGGTGGTGGGGGTGGGTGGGGTGGGGGAAAGTAGTGGCAGGAAAATGGGTACAACTGTACTTAAACAACTATTATATATATATACACACAAATGCACATATGTATACATACAAATAATAAAATAAAAAATAGAATAAAATAAAAATTTAAAACATAATAAACTATAAAAATGTTCCCTGAAAGTAGGGTCAAGTCAAGGAACATGTATAAAGGACACATAGACAAAGACAATGGGGGAAAGGATTGAATATGGAATGCAGGGGGTATATAGAACAGAGGAGAATAATGAGGAAAAAATGGGGACAACTGTAACTGAACAACAATGAAAAATAAATAAAATTTAAAACATAAAATCACTTTAATATATTTTATTTTCTTTTAAGAACTTCAAATGGCTACTGAAACTTCTAACCCTAATAAGTAAAACTTGCTAAGCACAAAACCAACTTA